ATGAACAAAAAATATTTTAAAAACACATGGTGTTACCGCAAACCGAAGCGATAACGAATTTTTTTTTAATAATCTTCACAACATTTTGCTGAAATTGGACCAGGAATCGCCTCAGATTGCTCCACAGAGCATCTATAGAATCAAAAATTTCCCGGGGACCTTCAGTGGGCCCCGAAAGGGCCCCACGCCGTAAGACACTGCTCCGCGTTCGCATTAGTCCTTGGAGCAAATGCCCCAGCGCATCGCCCATTGCAACAGTTTTCTAAGTCAATACAATTCCTTTTTTTAATACAGTGCTTGAAATTATGCAGACGAAAATACATGGTTTGCAACTTTGAAGTACACAGAAGCTTAAAATTTGTAAAAACAAGAGTATATATTTTTTTTAAAATCCTTATAAGCTTAACAACTTTTGCTCAATTAATTCAGGGGGAAAGGGGCCAGGAATCGCCTCAGCATGCACCACAGAGCATCTATAATCCAAAATTTCCCGGGGCCCTTAAGCGGGCCCCGGACCCCACGCCGTAAGGGCTTCGCGCTCGCAATAGTCTTCAGAGCAAATGCTCTAAAGGTGTGCCCCCCGTCTAAAGAAATCCTGGATCCGCGCCTGTCATGGGAGCACAAAAGCGCATCGAAATATCCGGGTTTGGTCTTGGACGAATCTAGACCCAATTTTACCTCGAAGTTCACGGCATTTGAGAGTAATCCAAGCCTGCTATAGTCCCTGTGAATTACTTCAGTCGTCCGGAAAGTGAGGAGCCAAGGGTGCGGTGAGACCAAAATGGACCTCCTCGTTAGGTTGTTGACGACAACTCCCTAAGCCACGGGATTAAAGTAATTTGTCAGACTTGTTAGGGTCGATATGACTGGAGTGGGTTGATCGCTTTTATCCCTGTTGCAAGTGCAGCCTTCCACGAATCATGAAAAGTTCAAGGCGAATTAAAAGCGCGGCCACTGCCATGGCCTTGGTATGCGAGATGAATGGTTGGTACATTATGGTCAGCATTCCGGAGATATTTGACGTGATGACTTGCAACAATCGTTGATTTTGTTTAAGCTGATTGTTACATTTTGGCTGGAGTTCGTAATTCTTTGTTTGTGGTCTTGTTTGTTGGTGCTTTGTTTGCTTGTTTTCGTTGCTGCTCCCATCATGCACGATGGAACGATTGGTATGTGAGTGATTGTTTGTCCGTTGGTTGATAGGGGTGTTTGTTTGTTTGTTTGTTTGTTTATTTGTTTGTTGACGGTTGGTTTATTTGTGCGTTGGTTGGTTGTTTGATGTGTTTGGTTGTTGGTTGGTTGGTCGGATGTTTGGCTTTTACTGTATAGGGGTGATTGATGGTTTGTTTGTTGGTTTGTTGGTTGGTTGGTTCGTAGGTAAGTTGATCAGTTGATGACGTGTTGGTTAATTTGTGGGTAAAATTAGGCCTATATCCATAAATATGGCCCAGTAATAATACTGATTCACGAATGGCAGTTTTAACGGAGAAACACCGTCGTGAAGGAAATCGCATCTTCATTAAATGCGGAACTTTAAAATATACATTCGTCTTTAATGTCATTTTTTGGGGGGGGGGGGTGGGGAATGAGGTGAAGGACAATGAACTCCCCGAGATGTTTCCTGCCTAAATGTTGTTTTTAATGAGTTGGAATTGAATTTACTGCTGATTACCTTGGGAAGGACGAGGGCACGAAGAATGTTAGCTACTCACAGCTGTTCCGTACAATCTCTGGGGGTAAAGCGGGGGGAAATCAAACGGCACAAACCAGATCACGGTCAGGATCGAGGAGTGATGCTTCTATTCCGAGATTGTGAGATTCCACTTCGATTTCTGAATGCAAACTTTAGGTTTTTATGTAAAGGTTTTCGTGGATGGTCCCGCTTTTTTCACCACGGGTACATATTCAACCAAAAATTGTTTTATACCGTGATTTTAAAGTTCAGCCATTTCTTTGTGTCTGCGGTAGTATTTGCTATACCTTTTCAGATCGAACATCTCTTTTTTTTTAATAACATCCAAAAGGAAATGTGTTCCAAAAAGGAATTTGATGAGGACAATGTTATTGCAATGTTATCAGTCTGGTAGAGCATAGCAGTATTTGCGGCCAATGCTCACATGAAAAAAAAATCGTTTCCCAACTGTTCATCACTTGGTGAAACATGTTGGTTATAACAATCCTAAGTTGACCTTTTCGGAGGAACTAGATTCGCTTTCCATAGACGATTCGTTCAATCTTCATCAACGGTACTTCCACGGTTCCATTTGATTGTCATTTCACGGATACAGGGGGCAACAAGGGTTCCGCAAGTCAAACAGTGAATGACGAATACCCAAGAACCCATGGGGTATAAGATGAGGTCAACCTGGGGTCACGGGCTCCAGGCATTACCAGCGACCAAAAACCCAAGGTGCATGACCAGAATGTCATCTGCTTCGTTTCTTTTCTGTACAGCTGGGGCATAAGGACCGATTACAGAGTAGGCCCACCCGGCCGATGTAGACCTGGCTTCGGTTGAACCAACCAAAAAAAATTAACCATCAAATCGAATCAAGTTCAACATTTGACAAACATTTAGCTGATGAGTTGAGCAGACGTTTACGTCGCTTCGAGCGGGAAAAAAGAAGTCTGTGTGTTATTAAGAACGGCGGTATTAAACTGGATTTGGGTGACTCATACGCCCGACCTGGAACTGGAACTGTAACTCGAACATTTTTTTTTATTTTGAAAAATCAGGGAAGTATCTCTTCGTAAAATTCGATTTTGAACGAAATAAATGTCTTATGGCATGCAACTTATGTTGTCATTACCTGTTCTGCTGTTCACACGAAAGAAAAATGTCTTTAAGATATTTTAATGTTACCGCAGTTCACGCTGCAAAAATATTGAAAACAAAATCCTAAGCTTTACTTCAAGGTTCGGAATTAAGGATGTGCCAAATGACACATCTTTTTAATTTTGAAATTCACCAGAAGGTAGACTTTACCTTACACATGGAAGCCGGGCCAGATACCGCTTTGAAGAGTCACTAAAGTGGAGTTACATTGTAACCCGTCACTTACGAAAGTTTGTATCAAATCCCCAATCCAACGCCAAAGTTAGCTCAAGGCTTGTCATCAACAATTGAACCAGCCATAATGGTTTTGCACATTTTGTGGCATCAAAATTTGAGCTTAAATTTTACCACCTCGCTTCACTACCTCTGTATTTTTTTTAGCACTGTTGTTGCTGGCCATGTTGGTTGAACAAAATGAAGCATTACAATTGTGTGTGCCACATTACAACAGTGCACGAACTTGTGCACAACTATAAACTAGAACAGCACTCAGAGAGCGCAAACCTACAAGGCTAAACAATTCCCGCCATTATTGTAAGTTCACCCAAAAGAAATACTCGCATATATGGTGAAGAATACTTAAAATATATCCTGGATCCAGACCCACATCCCGATCACTGCCAAAATCTAATCTACCAATCGATTGTACCATGGACCACCCCTAAAAAAGTGTTCATGCAAATCCGTCCATAACTTTTTGAGTTATCTTGTTAACAGACAGACCAATTACCAACCAACACCGATGAAAACATAACCTCCTATGTCACTCATGTCAGAACCCTAAACTGATATTAAACCACAAATACGCATTGGGACATTTTATCATAACAGCCATCACTTTGCTATTTGTAACATCTGACGTTATCGTTCATGTATCGTCCATTCGTTGTCTATCACATCACCCAGATTTTATAACCTCTATTTAGACTTGATATTAAACATTGTTCAGGTGATAACGAGTTAATAGTCATGCGTTGGCAAATAGAAGTTGAAATCATGTCAAGAGCAGGGCACATCCTGCATAGGCCTACGACTTGACATAAGCCAAACACCCGGGAACTCAAAGCTATGATGTAAAATGTGATTCCAATAATCCTTGATTGAAAACATTTTCTTTGGGTCAAAAATCATTGCCAAAACATCATTGCGCAGAAAAGTAAAACTTGTCAGTATGCGCACGTCTCTTGAGAATGCACAACGGTTGTCGCATCCCACAGGCTGGAATCATAAAAGCTGCGAAACATTGATGTCTTACGAAATAAAGTTTGATCTTCCGATTCCCAAATCGGTGGGGGAAACTCAAAAGAATTGAGGCCAAGCCCTGGATTGATTAGACAAGCGATTAGATAGCTATAGAGAAGGTTCCGGAGGGCGTGTCGCTACCCTTTTGATGAAGGAGTTACCAAAGTTAGATTTGCCCGATAACTTGTGGACGTTCACGTGGTACTTTTATTTTTTGGTACAGCCCCTTCGGCTTTTGCTCGGACGTTGAGGCATGTCGGAACACAACCAGGGTATTTCGTCGAAGCCTTTGTGTCCGAACAAGCGAGTCGCATCCCCCTTGTAACTGATACAGAGCGGTAGAGTACGGCCCATCGCTCCAAGTTTACTTAGTGACCTTTTATGGCCCGTGTGGTCATCTGTGCTTCATTCACTCGCACAAAACTCTTTTCTCTGACCGGGACGCCAAGTTGTTAGAGGCCCGTGCGGCACGGCCTGTGATTCGACTCAAGTCACCGCTTCTCTCTCTCTCTTTTAGTGTGTTGCCGCGTGTGACTCGGCGAGTTCGATACCTAGCTGGCCTATTGATATTCTAATTGATCAGCGAGCATTAAGCCGATTGCCCGCTATAGAAACCCCCTCCGATCACCGATCCACCGACGGGAGAGATCAAGCGCGTCCATGCGTATAAAAACCAAAAGTCCAACCGGTATCACAACACACTGGGGAACTTGGTTTTTGTTGTGCCGCTTTATGGATTGGCTGCGGGCTTTGTGCCGTGGAGAGCTAGATTGGAGTCAGTAGGCGAAAAAAAGTTTGGGAGTATAGTCACAATTTTTTTCCAAGGGCGCGTTTGTATTACCAGAGACTGATACGGGGTGCAGCGGTATAGAGTGAGACGCCTATTTTGGGATCGCTTTTGGAGAACTTTTTGGCAGGAATATTTTCCTCGCACCATGGAGTTAAAAGTTTGGATGTCACTTTGTCTCATCTTTGGGAGTTTTGCGATGAGAATCGGCCACGTCTACGCCTCGGGAATGTGGTGGTAAGTCACCCTGTTTTTCTATCTGTCAATGCATTTCAACATTGTGGTTGTTTTTTTGCAACTTGGTATATATTTGGATTCAAGTACACGTTGATTGTTCGGCGTTTATGATCGCTTGAACGGGTATTTGGCAGCGGGGCGAGAGCGTCGTGCTGCCAGCGCCGGTCAGCCAAGGCTGCCCGCTGATGCTCTCTTGAACGGAGTCACCGATATCATGAGTCTTGTAAATAAGACATGGATTACCGCCAAAAATCGATGACTCTAATGCCTTGTTTGTATTGAGATCCCTCGCATGTATGAGGTCTATGGACACGCTTGATTTTTCCACTTTCCATGTGTTTACAAAACAGTTTGTAAACAACAGGTGTTCAACTCAATTATTCCCTTTTTTTCCGGATGATTTGCAAAAATCTGTTAATTGATGTTTTCCCTTGTTCATTAATTGAAAGAAATATAGTTAATAAGCATCGAAAGAATGGTTTAAACTAAGTTAAACTATTGGATTTATATTGTTTTATTGTCAAGCAAAAGTGCCAGGTAGGGGTGGCTTCGAACATGTTGTGAATATGACTTTGGTAAAAGAAAGAGTAAAGTTGTTACATGTCAACTCAGCGGTCGCCAAAACGGGAACTTTTGTTCCGTGGTATAATAAAACTGTGGATCATTAGGAAGTTATACTGTTCCATTATATTATAACAGTGTATACTTGTATAAAGTTGGACTCTCACATACAGAATTAACAATATGCCTATTAATTAATGCGTAAGCACACTGTATTGCATGCACTGCTCGTCATTATAAGGTGACAAACGTCTTTGCACTAACATGTAGCTCATGTACATGTAAGTTGCATGCAATAACAGCCCCTGTACGCAGAGAAATGTCTTCATTCGGAAATTACAGTTGAAGTCGGCGATTCATCTGAATAAAAAAAAATAGCGGTGAACGAACGAACGCAACATTAAGGTCGACAACATTTTGATTTCGCCAAGGGGAATGCGGTCGGAATCTGGGAACATATTTCAGTTCACGAGTCAACTGCTCTGGGGCTTCCGAATTTGGGAAAACGCTTTGCAAAATGAAGAAAAATCGTTATTACTGTTCGGGTCAGGAGATCTCATAGCTGCGAGGGCAATGTACCGGGAACGAAGAGTTGATTAGGTTGTAAGTGATGCTTTTGGGTCTCGGGGGAGACTCACATGATTGATCAAACGGAGGCAGTTACAAACAATCTTTTACTGCTCTACTTCCTAGTAACCTTATTAGAATTTTATGTGATGATGGGGGAAAAACAAACATCTCAAGCGAGGTGCCTCGGTACTTTCAAGGGATATTATAATAATAATCATGTAGTTTTGAATCAACTGTTGATTACAGCAGACCAGTGTAAGTTGTTCCCTGAATTGGTAATTTTCTACCAATTCGTTCCATATTTTGTTTAAAAAAGCAAAACTAAATGAGCTCAAACTTTTTAGAGGTCATTTCCATTGATGAACACCTTTAACCAATCATTACCTCCATGATGGTTTAACCGAACGGTGTTGATTGCTTCGATTTCAAGCATGTCGTGGAAAACAAACACGGCTACAAATTCGTCCGGACTTTGTCAGAATGGAGCGCTAAACGAATCCATATTGCTTATCCTGCGAGCCATATGCGTTCACATTGAATCGCTTGGACCTCGTGGCGTCTTTTTTTCTCCCTCCAAAAAAAAACTTGATTAATCACTACATTCAACGTGACCTGACGTTGGATCGCTAGAGTCTTCTATGGGACTAGGGGTGCGGTGCATTTAGTCTTGGCAGTTTTGCATTCACGAGGCGAGCTATCAAATAGGCAACCAGTCTGGCTATTACCTTGTAAATTGAATCCCTGAAGCTATCGGAAAATTGGATGTAGAAAGCAAATTCCCAGTTTGAACTTGATAGGTTGTTTAAGTTATACCTTTTCCTCAAACTTCTCATCGTGTTTGTTAAGATCTGTGGGGGTTTAATACCAATGTTACGTATTTGAACGTGTATCAGAGATCGTCGAGAAAACTCTCAGTAAGGTATGGACGCTTAGGTGTCGTTTGTAATCAGTGCACTGGGCTTAAAATGACGAATTTGAGGAAAACATGACAGGTGCAATATTACCACGAGCAAATATACCTGCACCATGTAGTCCAAGTTATGCCACCTGCGCCTTGTTGTCACCATGCCCGTTAGAAACGTGAGGCAGTGTGTCATATGTCATGATATGAAGCAACGATATAGTCTTCTGAAAAAAATGTCGCAAGGAAGATAACGTTGATGTACCTCGCAAACATTGCGGTGATTAAATCGCGATAACTAATTGATAATGACTGAAATGTCAATAGAGAGATGGCCTTGATGTCGGTTTTATAATGTCAATCATTTTAACGCCATTCATTTCCCATGGCAAATTATGTAACCTTGTCTTGATATAACGAGATCATTCACATTCCAAAAAGGTCGTTTTTTGCCAGTAGGGATTACAAATTCAGAAATTGACATCTCCAATCACAAAAGCCGTGCTTTACTCTGTAATGTCCAAACTTCATTCACTGAATACGACACTTCTTAGATACGATTGATTTCAAGTTTGTTGTCGACAAAATGAGCCGGGATTCGAATAAGCTTGTGGTCTTAATGAGAAAAGAGTAAATCCCACTTAAGAAATTCTCTTCTGTAACAATCAGACGGTACCTATAATATGACAAAGGACTTGTAATAACATCGTCCTGTCTTCGTTTTGTTCGGCAAAATCATCAATAGCAGTGTCGTTTGCATGACACAGGCTTCGTCGTTTCTTCCTAACATGCAAATCTCTCTCCGACTCCTCTCGTTAATGGGGAGCTCTCGTCTTTCCCCATGGGAGATTTCTGGTCGTTGAAAACCCATCCCTCGTTTTATGGCGGCTTTTCTAGAAACCTTTTTGTGTTGCATCTCTGAATAAAGGTAATCTATAGGGATGATGTTCGAGTCGCCAAATTATCCAGCCAAGCTATTGAATGCGGTAGTATACGGTACAAAGTTAATGAGACTTGAATGAGTGTTGTCTGAGCGCAAATTGGTACCGGTGCGGACTTTCAAAGAGGCGGGGCAGTTAAAAGGCAAAGTAGGAGGGCCCGATCCGCTGCAATTACACTAATCCGAAGATTTATTGGCATCTAGTAGTTGGATGTTTTCAAGAGGGTATAGTTCGTCTTAAGTCCACTTTCTAACAAATTCTAAGTAGCATGAGCCATGTCTAATGATACATCGTTCTTACTGTTTTGGAAGTAAGGGGTTATGTTTACGTTCGATTTCTTAAAAAAAAAGATAACAAATACTGGGCTACGTGCATTATGGAACCAAAAAATAACATTGGTATATTGGGAAAATGAAAGAGTGAGAATTTAGTTTGTTTCAATTTAGAAATATCAACTCGCAAAAGCACTCGAAAACTTCACTATCGTGTTAAAAAAGTCTTTAAACTTGCTGTTCTATATTCTGTCTGCATGGGTATTTCCATTTGAACACATGTCAATAAATGAGCTAAATTCCTCACTTTCAATTACTGCTTTCCAGAATTTCCGGCCGACCGGTACGTAACCCCTTCAACAAATGGAGCCCGTTTTTGTTGTGATGCTTTGGGATATTTTTAACCCCCTTTTTACAGTGCCCCGTATATATCATCACCTGTCATTCTTTTCTCGTAAAAGTCATATTTTACGGTGTTTGATATTTCCTTTATGTAACGAAAGAATAAACAAGTGTCGCAAAGGGACTGCGATAAATGCTGACAGTAAGCCTAACACATCGTACCCTCCGGAACTCCGTGGAATCGTGGGTCGTCCACAAAGGAATAAACTTCTCTACGAATTCGTTTTTTTTTCTTTCGAGGTTCACTTACAACCAACTAACTGTTTGTCAAAACCACAAAGAGTTGACTGAACTATATTCACTGTCAGCCGTTATCCCAATCATCACCAATTTCATGGGATTCTCAGGCGGGAGCTTTAATCAAATTGCATATATTTTTTTCAGCGGACAGGGCTGTTGTTGTTGGTATGTTGTTCACACTTGTAGATCAGAGGTTGGCTGTCCATGCACAAATTAGCAACAGATGGCGGCAAACATTATGGAAGGAACAAAAGAAAAAGTGCATGAAATGTTTTCATGAAATATTTCGTACTCGGTTTCCCTGTCACTTTGTTGTTCACCTGATTTCACCTGACCATCACGTGGCCTTTTGTACAATAGTCTTTCTCGCCCATTAATTTGTTCTCATTTTTCCTTTCAATTCACTTTGGATATTAGGCCTACTTCAACACATGTCTACCTATAGAACACGAATCCTTCATATGACTCACGTGTTGAAAAATTGTGACAGAAACCATTTAAGGTTAGGCCTGACTCATTTCGAAGCAATTAATAATTCAGACATCGGTAGATTCGAATGTTAAATATTTCTAGAAAGCAAAGCCTAATTTCATTCCCGCTATGTTTGTGACTCGGTGTGCGACGATCGTACGAAGCATGTACCGTTGCAAATCTCAAGTTGATATGATGTAGCCTCTTTGATGTTATGTTATCTGAACATCATTCCCTTTTTCATGCATGTGCGTTTTTGTGCTGAACTATAGGATAGCTATAATAGTACGGTGACTGCTGTATGTTCCGACACCCCTATGTTCCAACAACCCGCACCGTGAGATTGGTTACTCCCAGATAGGGTTAGGGTTTGGGATAGGAATAATGTGCAGTCGGAACATAGGGGTGTCGGATATAGGGGTGTCGGAACATTGGTGTGTCGGAACATAGCACCAATAGTAGGGGATTTAATTTTCAGACGTAGTGCCTCATTGCAGTTGCTGTATGCACTGTATGCTTTTCTCGAAAAATTCCCAGTCCTGGGTCCCGAACCTGTGGGGTCATGGCCGATAGTTTTTACGTGACTGGTACAATGGGCTTTAAAAGTGATTTCGTTGACTTGCAAAAAAAAGGGGGGGCAGC